GAAGCTCTATATATATACAAGAATTCTAAATAAAATCAAAGTCTTGTGTATATAGTAACAGGCTGAAGTAGAAGTTAAGTAATAATTAATATTTATCACAGATTAAGTATTTACTATAAAGAGCTTCACTGATACAATGCCCTGGTAACTGAATAGTTAATGCGGCTACCCGGTAGTACCTTAGCATGGGAAACCAAGGTGTGCAGGTTTGAAACCTGCAGAGGATACATTAAATTCAGAACTCAAGCATCTTAGATTTCTAATAAATACAGAGATGTACAAATTGCTTTAATAAATTACTCTATGTTTCTGAGCTGAGAAGTTATTATCACATGTATCTAATTGTCACTTCTTTGTATTTTTCTATGTTCTTGTTATCTTGACATGATCTCAACATCTGTATTTTCTACTGTATAATTAATACTTAATCTGTATTTAACATCATATAAGAACTCATCATAAGCTCCGCTTGTATATAAGTATAATGAAAGAATAATAATAATAATAATAATAATTCACTGATACAATTATCACTATTAATAAGAAAAGAAAAAGTCAGATTATAAGTCTATAGTAAGAGATTAAATACTTACATAGATAAATAACTATATCAAATCTAAGAATCTTATTATAATTATTTACAATCTCTTCAAAAGTGTATATATTATCTGAGACTGTTATATATAATAAGAATTTAAGTACAAGTTATATTAAGTCAGATAATCTGTCAGAGTTATTAATCTTTAATAATAACTGAAAAAATAATACTGTAATTAGCTGACTAAGTCAAATATAATCATATTATCATATTAAGTGTGAAGTTATAGATAAATAATTAACAGAATTTTAATAAGTCTTAAAATCTGCAGTTTATTTACATAAAAAAGTAAAGTCATTATAAATAATAGATAAAAAGATAAATCTTACAGACTCAGAGTGATATTCATTCTTATAAATATATAATAAGTTTTTCAAATGAATCTTACATAACTTTAAGAAAGTGAATATATAAGATAAGTATTATAAATACTTTACTAAGTATAAATAAGTGAGTAATCTTATAACATACTTCATATACTTTATCTTATACTATTTTATATTAAATAAGAAGCTTTTAATATCTTTCTATTTACAGATCTTCACTCATGATCTTATATCTAAGTTAAGAGTGAAATAAAAATACTTAAGCTTATAATCAGATTGTAAGAGGCCTATACTGAATAGATCAGTATAATATATAGATTTTATATAATAAAAGTGAAAAATGTTAGAGAAGAAAGAAAAGAGAAAGTGCAGAAATTAGCAATCAGAGTGAATATTTATACATGTATAAGATAAAGCTTTGAGGCGGAAGAATAGAAATTCCGGAGTATATAAGATAGAGCTTCAGAGCAGAAGAATAGAAATTCTATAAGTTCTTTAGTCAAGAATCAGTGACTGAGGATCAGAGCTTTCAGCAGAAATCTATAAAGTGTATTAAAATAGTCTATTAATCAGACACAGTCTGTCACATTAACTCTCTCTTTTCGGAAGTGAGATTATGTGTAGTTCTGATCAATCAAGAGTTACTATCTTAGATAATACAGAGCTCAGAGTTTAGATCAGATAATTATAGCTAACTTATTTCACAAGATATTACTAGCTGAGACTGTGAGATCTCTTATTAAGAATATTATTAATCTCTTATTCAAGTTCATTATTCTCTTCTAGAATTCCTGGCAGCTGTCAGTTGAAAGTCAGTTAAGAAGAAAATAAGTCAGTGATAGCATAGTGAAGCAAGCTTATATAAAAGACATTATAAATCTCTGATAATATGTTAAGATAGTAGTTATAGCTATCTAGAACTTCTATCACTTTGTATTTAATATAATAATAGTTCAGTGTTATTATTATTATTATTATTCTTCAATTATAGATATATGCAGTCAGAGACTATAACATCTACCTGAGAACTTTGAGTTCTCAGAGTTTTTTCTATATCTGTAAAGTTAACTATTATACATTCATCAATTTCAGATATGCAAAATCAGAAAATTCCAGCTCAGAATACAAAAACTGTTTACAAATTACAGTGTTTTAACATCTTCTGATACTTTGAAATCATTTGACAATTCCATGACAAGGGAAAAGAGAACACAGTCTTAAAGATAGACACATTAAATAGATAGATAGAAAGAAATTAAAAGAAAAAGATAAAGTAAAGAGAGACTGTAACAAAACAAATTATTAAAAGGTAGTATATAGCTGTTTTAACAGACTATATCTGATTGATTTTCTCCTCTTCATATTCAGATATTTCTGAATTTAGTCATTTTCTTATAGCTGCTTGAGTTTCTGATAGAAAGTCTATTAAGTATTTAATTTCTGTCTCAGTTGAGAATAAGAATCTCATATTTAATTGATTTAAATCATACTTCTCTTTCAATCTGGCTCTGAGACTATTGTATAATGCACAGTGTATCACAATATACTCAGAATTCTCATTTACATTGCAGAATGAGCATTCTATTGAGTCAAATCTATCATCAAATCTTTGTATATAAGATTTGAAATAGTCATGTTCTAGTTTCAGCTGTATTATAGATGAGAATATTTTCTTTTTATATTTAATTGAACAAGATTTTCACTTGAGTTTTATTTCAAATCTTGAATAATGTATACTCTTCTTTTGTTTCTACCAGCTTTCATTTCACTTGTCTGAATAAGATTCTTTTATTTTTCTCTTTATAAAAGATCAGGATACAATTTTTTAAATAGATCTGCTTAATTCTGCATGCTTTTTTACAGCTGAATCAGCCAATTCATTGTCATGATTCATGAATATTCATATGAGCAGGAACTCAGTGTAGATGAATTATCAGCTTTGATATTCTTCTCTTTTGAATTTTTAAAACAGAGTTTAAGATCAGTTCAAGATTCATTTGATCATTATAAATCTGACTATTTCTAAGTCTTTTTAAAGTAGCTTGACTATCAGAGAATATTTATATCTCTTTCAAATTATTTTCTCTTTTATAAGATTTTATTTCAATGAGTTTGAAAGCTTTCACTATTACAAATAGTTCAGCATTAAAGACTTCAGATTCACAGTCTAAATTTCAGAAATCTGAGATAAAATTGATATTATCTTCAGTATAAGCAATGCCTGCATCTAATCTATTCAAATTCTCATTTTTTAAGTCATCTGAATAAATCAGAATAGAGTCTTTTATATTGATTGTAGAAATTCTCTTCAAATGCTGTTCATATTCTTTCTCTTTAGATAGTTCACTTATTTATAAGTCTATAAGAGAATCAAGCTTTTCTCTTCAGAGAGATAACTTCTTATGATCAACTTTTTCAATATTTAAAGAAGAAAATTGATTTTTAATCAGTGAGTATAGTCTGTACAGTTGAGAAGGCATTTTCTTTGAAGAATTATTTTCATTTCAATCAAGAAATCTATTTTAATCCAGTTCATTTCCAGAGTTAACTGATGAAAATGAGAAAGAGACTCTTTCTCTGATTATATGATTTGAGCTCATCTTTATAACTCTCAGAGCATAGTTCATACAGGTCTTTTCAAATTTAATAGCAGAAGAAAGAATTGAAGCTTCAATTTTCATTGCTTTAATAGAAGATGATTTGAATGCTCTCAGAATTCTTCTCAAAGCTCTGTTTTACAGACTTTGAAAGAGTTCAGTG